AGCGCTCTACCACTTGAGCTACAGCACCACTTCCGGTTTTCTGGTGGTTTATTGGAGATAAGAGGCTCACAGATTTTCTTGCCTGGGCTGGCTTTGAACCGCGATTCTCAGATCTCAGCCTCCTGAGCAGCTAGGATTACAGGCGTGAGCCACAGGTGCCTGGCTGGAAAAAATCTATTTTTCTCCTTTCTTCTTTCCTTCCTTTCTTCCTTTTTTCTTTCCTTCCTTCCTTGTGTTCTTCCTTCCCACCGCCCCTCCCCTCCCCCAACTCAGAGCCTTGTGCTTGCAAGTCAAGTAATCACCATTTCAGCTACATCCCCAGTCTGCGGACTTTTTTTTAAATTTTTTACTGGTACTGGGGCTTAAACTGAGGGTTGTCTTCTCACTTTGCTTACTTTCTCACAGCCGGCACTCTACCACTTGAGCCATGCCTCCAGAGTCTCACAGACTTTTCTGCTCAGGCTGACTTTGAATTGAGATCCTGAGATTTCAGCCTCTTGAGTACCAGGATTACAAGTGTGAGCCATAACAAACCTCTGAGAATTTTTTTTAAATTGTGCTTGGGATCAAACTTAGAACCTTGCACATGTTAGGCAAGCACTAACCCACTGAACTACAGCCTCTGCTGCTACTTTAAAAAATTTTTGGTTAGGGGCTGGGAAGGTGGCTCAGTGGTAGAGCGCTTGCCTTGCAATGCATTAGGCCCTGGGTTCAATTCCCCAGCACCACATAAGCAAAAAGAAAAAAACCGGAAGTGGCGCTGTGGCTCAAGTGGTAGAGGGCTAGCCTTGAGCTGAAGAGCTGAGGGACAGCACTCAGGCCCAGAGTTCAGGCCCCACGACCGGACCCAAAAAAAAAAAAAAAGAAAGAAAAAGAAAAAACTTTTGGTTAGTCATTATATAGGCAGATCACTAAAATTTTAAAATGATATGTTATAAAGGAATATTATAAACAGTACTCCCTGGAAATCTAGTTCTTCACAGGAGTTGGACTTTTTCTTTCGTATGCTCATAGGCAGCAGGGATTATACTAGGGAGAATTTTATCTGAAAGTAAACTTGTTAATAGTGGGTTTCTCATACATTATAACTGCTACTACATCCATAGAAACCCATTAAAGAAAAACAGAAATTCCAAGTCAATTTTAAATGAAATAATTTCTCAGTGAGATAAATTTAACATTAAAAAAAAACATTGATCACCTAATATATGCTACATAAGGGATTTTACAATCATTTTCTTTCTTTTTTTCTTTTTTAACAAGAAAAAAAAATCACAAGTTCACTACTATTTAGGTTAACCAAATTCTGAACCTGAAGAGGAAGACCATTAGCTCACTTACTGTCAATAATGTCTCCCAGCCCCTGGGCACGAAGAAGGTCCTTCAGTCGTGTCACCTCCTCCTTTAACTCCCGAACCAGTTTGGCATTGGGGTCTTCATTGATAACAGCATTGCACTTAATTTGTTTTGCACGATCTGCATATCTACAGCCAAGCAGAAAATTAAGTATCGCCATTTCTTAGCTGCTCTACTTCTCATAAGTAACATATCATTTCTAAAATAAACACTGAGTATTTACACATTTTATGAGCTTTGATAATAAATATTTTACAAAGATTTATAGTACCTTACTTATAAAGATGAGGAAAAGGCTTAGATAAATAATGATTTGCCCAAGATCTCAACAGAAACAAATACCACAGAGAGGCTAGGCATCAGTGGCTCATACCTATAATCCTACTTATTCAAGAAGCCAAGATCTGAGGATCTTGGTAGGCTCTTCCCTCCAAAAGCTACCAAAAAGCTGGAAGTGGAGCTCTGGCACAAATGACAGGGCACTAACTCTGAGCAGAAGAAGCTCAGGGATAGTGCCTAGGCCCTGAGTTCAAGCTCCAGGACCAGTGTACTCATGCGTGCACACCTGCACACAGGAGCACACATACATAAATGCCAAAGAGAGGACTCAATCTAGTTTTTCAGGTTATATAGTATTCTTTTACTACATCCAAAATATCTTCAATGAGATAAGGGCAAAGAGTTCTAGATTAATATAATAAAAATTTTACATGTAAGATACTCTATAACTGAATATCTCTCTCTCTCTCTCTCTCTATATATATATATATATATACACACACACACACATATATAGGTATTCTTGCTCTCAGCTGGCACTCTTCTAGTTGAGCAATGCCTATAATTCTGGCATTTTGCTGATTAAGTGGGAAAGAACCTAAGATAACTTTTCTGCTTGGGCTAGCTTCCAACAGTCCTCAAATCTTAGCCTCCCTGAGTAGCTAGACTTAAAGGTGTGAGGCACCAATGCCCAACTCTGTTGATAAAGTTTTCAATATTACATGCACTCATAATTTCATTACTTGAACATATTTAAAGAGAAAGATTGCGTTCAAGAGGGAAATACTTTTTAGAGAAATAAATATTATTATAGACAATTTCATTGTCCTAACAATCTCATAAGCAATTTAACATCTTTCCTATGAAAAAGTTCCTGCCTTTCTCAGTAAACCACAAGCAGTAAATGGACTGCATTGTAATAAAAATAATTTTTCCCATGTTTTTCTGTTAGGAGAGGATGAGCTCACTATTAGCCTAAACAGCTACCCTTGCAGCATATGACAATCTGTGGTATAACAAAATGACTCAGCTACTGAGATTAAATTGAGAGTACCTCAGAGTGCTCAGAGTTTCATCATAGTTGATATCTGCTGGGCTCAGAGCAGCAACCATTGCAGTCCGAGAATTACCACCTAAAATGAGCCAGAAATATCTCAAATTATAAGTTATTTTAGAATTGTATTGACTGGGCCAAATCACAGTACAATTTCAGATCCTAAAATATAACCAAAATTCAACAGCTTTCTTAAATGTTCCACGCCAAATGTTCAAATTTTGGTGTGTGGATCTCCTGCCTCCACTACCTATCCTCTTACTCTCTTCTCTCTCTCTCTTTTTTTTTTTTGTTGGGCGTGGGGATTGAACTCTGGGCCTGGGCGCTGTCCCAGCACTCTTCAGCTCAAGGGGAGTGCTCTACCGCTTGAGCCACAGCACCACTTCCAGTTTTCTAGTGTTTTATTGAAGATAAGAGTTTCACAGACTTTCCTGCCCAGGCTGGCTTTGAACCGTGATCCTCAGATCTTGGCCTCCCCAGTAGCTAGGATTATAGGCGTGAGCTACTGGTGCCCGGCTTACTCTCTTCTCTAAAACCTAGTACAATCAAGATCTCAGCATACCAAAATAAAAAAATAAATAAAAGTTAAAAACTGTCCTTGGAGCTGGGAAAGGTGGCTCAGTGGTAGAGCGCTTGCCTTGCATGCTCAAGGCCCTGGGTTCGATTCCTCAGCACCACATAAGCAAAAGGAAAAAAAAAAGCCAGAAGCGGCGCTGTGACTCAAGTGGTAGAGCGCTAGCCTTGAGCTGAAGAGCTGAGGGACAGCGCCCAGGCCCAGAGTTCAGGCCCCACAACCGGACCCCCTCCCAAAAAACAACAACAACAAAAAAAACTGTCCTTGGTAAGGAGGAGCAAGGAAAAGGAAGGAAGGAGCTGTAAAGTCAAAAACATTTGTAATAAGGAGCATGAGGTCTGGCAACAGCTGACTACATGCACATCCCTGGAATATGAAGTTCTGAAAGAACTTTGAGGAAGAAGCAAAGTTCAGTCTTAAGCAGGTGCAAGGAGTTAGGATGGTAACTGCTCCACAGTTAATGTCCTGTAGTAAACGATTTTGGGAGAACATCCAGATTTAAAAGTGAGTGAATACAATCAGCTGAAATCAGGAGTAAAAAATGGAGAGGCATGAAGCACTCAAGTAAGACAGGCACTGGTGGTTCACACCTGTAATCCTAGCTATTCAGGAAGCTGAGATCTGAGGATCAAGGTTCAAAGCCAGCCCAGGCAGGAAAGGCCATGAAACTTTTACCTCCAATAAATCACCAAAAAACTGTAAGTGGCTCTGTGGCTGAAGTGGTAGAGCTAAAGAGCCGAGGGACAGCACTCAGGCCTAGAGTTCAAGTCCCACGACCAACAAAAAATAGAATAATAAAAAAAATAAAGCACTCAAGTAAGTACTATGAATATTTAGTACTAGTTCTAGTATCTAGTTCTCCAAAATATAACAATAAACCACAAGTCAATTAGTAAACAGCCTTAAAAAGAGAACTACAAAGTTAACTTGTACCAGTAGTCAACATACCCAGATTTTCTCGTAAGAGCCAAGTAAGTACAGAATCCCTGTAAGGTATGAAATCAGTTTTCTTCTTCTTCTTACTCTATTAGAGGGAAAGGAATCAGCTTAGCAAAGTCATGGAGGAAAATACACATGAAAAGTGAACCATTCTAAAATCTCGAAGCAAAATTCCATCACTGTTGACATTTATCAATCACAGTTTTCATGGCATTGACAGCTCATGCAGTAATTCTTCCTTCATGCATTTTGTTTTGAAATTTTTATATCATACACAAAAATCAATAGTATAATAAGCTGTCATATACCCAACAAGCAGCTTCACCCATTATCAATAATTTTCCAGTCATCTTTCAATTATCCCCAAAATACTTTTCTACATTCTTAAGCCATTTTGGAGGAAGTTGCAGATACCATGTCTAAACTCTTTGGCAGATAAGGACATTCTCTTACACAGTGTACAATACTAATATCCTGTGCAAATCATGTCATTATAGTTATCAGTATTTCAAAGCAATTCAACATTTCAACTATAAATACTATAGGTACACAACTTTCAGAGACAAGGATTCAAAAAACGTAATTGTAAGACATTATCAGACTGAAAAATCAATAGTAATTCCTTACTATCATCTAATACTAGCAATTTAATGAGTTTTCTTTTTACATGGGGGGAAATATGAGTCCTATGCATTCTACATTAAATGAATAAGAACAAATCATTTAATTAATTTAATTAGCCAACCAATAAATGAGATATTCATCTCATTAAAAAAAAAACAGGACTGGAAAGGTGGCTCAGTGGTAGAGCGCTTGCTTTGCAATGCATGAGGCCCTGGGTTCGATTCCTCAGCACCATATAAGCAAAAAAGAAAAAAGCCAGAAGTGGCGCTGTGGCTCAAGTGGTAGAGCACTAGCCTTGAGCTGAAGAGGTGAGGGACAGCACCCAGGCCCAGAGTTCAGGCCCCATGACCGGACCCCCAAAAAACAAACAAACACTAACTCTAATCAATAGAATAAAAACCAAAAGGGAAAGCTGGGGGCCAGCTCATGGCTATAATCCCAGCTATTCAGGAGACTGGGATCTGAAGATCAAGGCTCAAACCCAGGCCCTTATCTTGCAGGTAATCTCCAGAAAAATAAAAGGATACACACACACACACACACACACACACACACACACACACACACAATCTTAAAAAGCAAACTGTATTTTAGAATAGCACCTTTAAGAAGTTAAAAGAACTGGGCTGGGAATATGGCATAGCAGTAGAGTGCTTGCCTAGCATACATGAAACCCTGGGTTTGATTCCTCAGTACCACATACACAGAAAAGGCAGAAGTGGCACTGTGGCTCAAGTGGTCGAGTGCTAGCCTTGAGCAAAAGCTCAGGGACAGTGCCCAGGCCCTGAGGTCAAGCCCCAGGACTGGGGGGGGGGGGTGGAATTTAAAAAATGTATTGCACTTCTGAATGGTCTGCAGAACTATCAAGAGTCAGTCCTACAAATATCAGAGACAAACATTACAAAGTGATATAAAACTCCCTCAAATTTCCCTCTTGTTTCTTTATTCTCAATTCCCTCACCAAAGTATACCATGCTCCTAAATTACTTCTGGTGTGCAGTGAATGATTCATGGACACTCTAAACTGCCACTCTAAATCCCAGAGCCAGAAAACAAATCACACAATGTTTTCTGGAGGTTCTAAACAGCCTCAACCTTCACAGTGGCTGGATGGCTAGTTCGTCTCCACCCATCCCCATCATACCTTGCTGGTGCAGTTATCCTGTGAACGAATGCATTCAAAGGAGAAAATAAGAGCACAAGATAAGCTTCAAACAAGCATTCTGTTTAAATGCAAGTCATAGACAATGTCTTAAGAGACAAGCGAGATGCATGCCTGTAATCCTATTCAGGAGGCTGAAACCAGCGAGAGCAGGAAAGTCTGTGAGACCCATCTTCAATTAACCAACAAAAAGCCAGACATAGAGCTGTTGTGTGAATGGTGGAGCAACTGCCTTGAATGAAAAAGCTAGGGATAGAGCCCAAGCCCTGAGTTCAAGCCCCAGTACTAGCACAAAAGAAAAAAGCGAGAGACAAGCAAGAAAACATTTAATTTTTTGTAGTGATTTAAATGAATGTAAATTACCTACTTTCTTTTACCCTAAATAATGAAGACCTTCATACAAAAACTGGGTACCAGTGGCTCACACCTGTAATCCTAGATATTCAAGAGGCTAAGATCTGAGGATCACCACAGTTCAAAGCCAGCCCGGGAAGGAACGTCCATGAGACTCTGATCTCCAATTAACTACCAGAAAACCAGAAGTGGCGCTTTGGCTCAAGTGGTAGAGCACTAGCCTTGAGCTGAAGAGCTGAGGGACAGCGCCCAGGCCCAGAGTTCAGGCCCCACGACTGGACCCCCCCCCCCAAAAAAAAAAGAATCAAACTCAGTGCCAGTGGCTCACACCTGTAATCAGTAGGCTGAGATCTGAGGATCATGGTTTGAAGCCAGCCTGGGCAGGAAAGTCCATGAAACTCTTATCTCCAATAAACTACTCAGAAATAGCTGCAAGTGGTGCTGTGGTATAGAGATAGCCTTAAGCAAAAGAAGCTCAGGAACAATGCCCAGGCCCTGAGTTCAAGCCCCAGGACCAGGACAAAAAAAAAAAAATCAAACCAAATCTTAGAACTTTGCTCCAACCTTTACACATTTACTTGTGCTTTCATTTTACTTTCAGAACAAAGTCAAACTGTGTTACACATAGTTCTTATCTGAAAAGCTCTAAAAGGAAAAAGGTTAAGATTACCTAAAAGAGTCAAATCAGGGCAGCCCTCAGAAATAAGCATAAAAATATCATCAAGTATATTTGCTGAGCAGACAAATTTCCTGTTTCAGTAAAATATAAAACTTACCACCTCTGCCAAAGCTGATATAACTTTGCCCAAAGTTGTAAGAGACTTATTAATATTTGCTCCTTCCTAAAATAAACACCAAACACAAAAGAATTATGAAGAATTCCTCCCACACCTATTCATCGGTATTCATAAAATTTATAATATACTAGCATATCTGTTTCTTATGGTCACAAGTTCTAAAGCCTTGGTTAGTCCTCAATCTTCCCTTGCTCTTGTGACAATATACTGGAATCACAGGCTTACTTCCAAGTTCTAAGTGTACCTTCAAGATGTCTGCTCCAAAACCTTACAGAGATGCCTTCTTCCCACAACCACCAACACCAAATCTCATGTTGGTGAGTTGTGAGAACAATCTCTTATTCTTGGTAAACAGTATCTCTATCAAAGTCCATGATGTTCTTACATCTGGATTTGGTATATCCCATTTCCACTACTCTCTCTTACTTCCATCTAGTACTCTTTTATTGAAGCTGTAGAACAACAACTGGCAAAAGTTTTCTCTAAAAAGTCAAATAAAAATTGGATTTCATGTGACATATAGTCTATTGCAACTTCCATTACTGGAGTACAAAAGTGGCCATAGACCAAACATAAACTAATGGATCTAGCTATGTTTCAAGAAAATCAGGTAGTAAATTGGGATTGGCCCCCTGGCCACAATTCTCTGACCCACATGCTAGAACACTGATTGACTATGCTGATTTAAGAAATACCTTCAGGGCTGGGAAGGTGGCTCAGTGGTAGAGCGCTTGCCTTGCATGCCTGAGGCTCTGAGTTCGATTCCTCAGCACCACATAAGCAAAAAGAAAAAAGCCGGAAGTGGTGCTGTGGCTCAAGTGGTAGAGCGCTAGCCTTGCGCTCAAGAGCTGAGGGATAGTGCTCAGGCCCAGAGTTCAGGCCCCACGACCGGACCCCCAAAAAAAAAAAAAAAAGAAATACCTTCAATCGAGTTCCTTTGGCACCAGTTGAATCAGCTCGTTCACTTCCTGCTAGATCCACCAAGCTGATTTTACTGACCTGGTAAAGAACAGTAACATGGGAGCAATTCAAAAATAAGAAGGTAGAAGTAGAAAACATTTAGAGAAATTTTTTTTAGAAAATTGAAGTATGAATAAGACTGCAAATACTATGCTCTTATATTATGGCTCAAGAAAACAAAGAGAATATATAAAACAGTCAATGTGACAAGCGTGCTCAGGGTTGGAGGAATAGCTCAACAGCAGAGTGCAAGTACATGGGTGCAAAGTACATGGCTCAATTCTGCATGTGTGCACGTGAACACACACACATACCCAGAATGCATAAAACTCATAGCAATTTCTTAATTATCTTCATTCAAAAGCAGTAATTTGTTATGGTTTGGATGTAATTTTCCCTAAAAATTCCTATTATTGGAAGCCTGATCCCAGTTTTGGAACAGTAAGAGGCAGTGGGACCTTTAAGAGGTGCAGCCTAGTGGGAGGTCCTTAGATCAATGGGAGAACTGGCCACAGATGAGTGTTGTTATAAACTGACAAGGCTTCTGGGCTCCCAGTGTGGGGAGGTAAGCTCTCCCTTTTACACACCCTCCCACCATTGTGATGCCATCTGCCTGAGGACTTCATCAGAGCCACGCCGATGCTAGTGCCATGCCCCTGAACCTCCACAACTGTGAGCTAAACAAATCTCTTTCCTTACAAAGTTACACATTCTTGGATATCTCACTACAGTAACCAAAAACTGACTATTGCAGAAGCTTAGGATAAACATGCCTATTTTATTACAGTAGTGAATAAAAAATAAAGTAAAACTCATCAACCTATTAAATGATATATTAAACACAAAGCTTTGAGTAACTAGAACCTCATACACTGCTGATGGGAATACTAAATAATATCACTTTAGAAAAGTTTTTGGATTTTTTTAATTAAGATTTTTTTTCTTAGTATGCATTAGTTGTAAGGGATGGGGTTCACTGTGACATTTCCACTCATGTATACAATGTACCCTAATCAAACTTGAGCACCCATTATACTCCTCTTCCTGATCCCCTTATCCATTGTAAAACAACTACAACAGGTTTTATTGTTGTATATACAAATATACAACAGTGGGGCTGGGAAGTTGGCTCAGTGGTAGAGCCTTTGCTTTGCTTCCTGAGGCCCTGGGTTCGATTCCTCAGCACCACATAAGCAAAAAGAAAAAAGCCGGAAGTGGTGCTGGGCTCAAGTGGTAGAGCACTAGCCTTGAGCTGAAGAGCTGAGGGACAGCGTCCAGGCCCAGAGTTCAGGCCTCACGACCGGACCTCCCCCCCCAAAAAAATCTATATACACAACAGTATGTTTTGTATTTTGGTTTTGGTTTTTTGCTTGTCCTGGGGCTTACCTCAGGAACTGGGTGCTGTCTTCTTTCTGTTCAAGGCTAACACTCTACCACTTGAAACACAGTACCACTTTTGCCTTTTTCTGAGTAGTTTACTGGAGATAAGGGTCTCACAGACTTTCCTGCCAGGGCTGGCTTTGAACCACAATCCTCAGATCTCAACCTCCTGAGTAGCTAAGATTGCAAGTATGAGCCACTAGCACCCGGCTAACAGTATGTTTATACGTTAGTGCATATTGGTTTATACTCCTTTCAAATATGCCCAAGAGTGGTAAAGTAGGGTCATAATACAGGTGTTCTTAGTTTTTTTTCAGGAACCTCCATACTGACTTCCATAGTGATTGTACCAGTTGGAAATCTCTACATCCTTACCGACATTTATTATAATTTTCTTTTTGTAAAAAAATGTATTATATTGTAAAAATAGTATACAGAGGGGTTACAGTTACATGAGTAAGGCAATGAGTACATTTCCTATCAAGCATTGTTACCTCCTCCTTTGTTTTTCCGCAACTACCCTTCCCTCCCCAATTCCTCCCTCCCCCCGCCACAAGTTGTAAAGTTCATTTTCAACATAGTGTCTTGTACATCTCACTGTTACAATAGGTCCACCTATTTAAGCATTTTGTTTTTTTCCCTTCCCCTCCCCAAATTAGAAAAATGCATATACAAGATTCAGGGCACCAGAATCAAATACAGTGAAAACAGGAGTTATACCATGGGGGAAGAACATACAAAAGAAACAAAAAAAATCACATAGTGCATTATAAGTATGTTAAAACAATAGCAAGAAAAAAACACTTATGTCCCTGTCTTGGGGTTCATTTCACTTAACATTATCTTAGCTTTTGACCTTTTCTGCTTGTCCTAGACATATACTAGTTAATGCAAATAAGGGAAACCATGGGAGCTGTGTTTTTTTGGGCCTGGCTTACTTCACTTAATATAATTTTTCCAAGTCTTTCCATTTCCTAACAACAGGGCAATGTTATTCTTTCTGATGGAGGCATAGAATTCCATTGTGTGTGTGTATATATATATATATATATATATATACATTTTCTTGATCCATTCATCTACTGAGGGGCATCTGGGTTGGTTCTGTATCTTAGCCATGGTAAATAATGCTGCAATAAACATAGTTGTGCTGGTAACTTTAGTATGCACTTGTCTGTGTGTTGTTTATTTTCTTTATGATTATCATTATGTTGGGTGAGATGGAATCTTGGTGTAGATTTGATTTGCATTTGCTTATGGCTAAGGTTGAACATTTCTTCATGTTTCTACTAGCTATTCCTATTTTTTTTCTGAAAACTGTGTTCAATTCAATTGCCTGTTTATCAACTGGATTATGTTTTTTTGTTGTTTAATTTTTTTTTGTCCTTTGTGTAAAAATCCTTTTTTAATCTGTTGAATAGCTTGGTCCTAGTAAATTCTTTTTTTTTTTTTTGTCGGTCGTGGGGCTTGAACTCTGGGCCTGGGCGCTGTCCCTCAACTCTTCAGCTCAAGGTGAGCGCTCTACCACTTGAGCTACAGCGCCACTTCCGGTTTTCTGGTGGTTTATTGGAGATAGGAGTCTCACGGTCTCTCCTGCCCGGGCTGGCTTTGAACCGCGATCCTCAGATCTCAGCCTCCTGAGTAGCTAGGATTACAGGCGTGAGCCACCAGCGCCCGGCAGGTAAATTCTTTTGTTACGCAGAAACTTTCTAGTTTGATATAGCTGTATTTATCAATTCTTATGCTCATTTTCTGAGCTATTTGAGTCCTACTGAGAAATAATTACCTGTGCCTGTAACTATTAAGAATTTTTTCCTATGTTTTCCTATAGTAGGTTGAAAGTTTCAGGTCTTTGAGTTCTTGTATAACTGCACGTAGTTAACCAATCTGCCCATACCATTTGTTGAAGAGGTTGTCTTTTCTCTAGCATAAGTTTTGTGCTCTTTTGTCAAAGATCCGATAGCTAAAGTTGTACGGTTTTATTTCTGGGTCTTCTATTCCACTGGTCTTCAGGGTACTGTTTTTGTTACTATGGCTTTGCAGTATAATTTGAAATCTGTATTTGTGATATCGCTAGTGTTGTTCTTTTTGCTCAGAGTCACTTTTGCTATTTGGGATATTTTATGCTTTTAATATGAATTTTTGGTTGATTTTTCTATTTCTGTGAAAAATGACATTGGACTTTGACAGACATTATACTGAATCTGCAGACTGATTTCAACAATATGGCTATTTTCACATTAATTCATGAACATGGGATATCTTTCCATTTTCTGGTATCCTCTTAATTCCTTTCTTCTTTTCTTCCTGTCTTCTTTTCTTCCTTCCTTCTTTTCTTCCTCCCTTTTCTTCCTCCCTCCCTTCTGCCATCCCTTCCTTCCATACACGAAGAGGTCAAGAAACTTTCCCAAGGTTATACAGCTAAAACACAACAGAGCAGGATTTAAAGCAAGCATTCTCATTCCAAAGTCTACACTATTTAACCACTACTCAAAATGGATAAGGTGAATCAATTTTGGATATTTACCCACAAGCCAAAATAAGCAAAGGTGGTCTGGGGTATAGCTTAGTGGCAGAGTGCTTGCCTAGCACGAGTAAAGCTCTAGGTTTGGTTCTTAGAACCACAAAAGCAAGGGCTGGGAAGGTGGCTCAGTGGTAGAGCGCTTGCCTTGCATGCCTGAGGCCCTGGGTTCGATTCCTCCGCACCACATAAGCAAAAAGAAAAAAGCCAGAAGTGGTGCCGTGGCTCAAGTGGTAGAGTGCTAGCCTTGAGCTGAAGAGCGGAGGGACAGCACCCAGGTCCAGAGTTCAGGCCCCACGACCGGACCCAAAAAGAAAAGAAAAAAAAAAAAAAAGAACTCATCCATTTAGTAAATGAACAACTCTCCTTCCCACAAAATACAGAGGATTGTAAAGGGAACTTTCTCAAATTTTCTGCTATTCATGAGTTGAGCCTCGAGCTCCATGTTTTCCTACCTTCTCAGTGGAAAGGTTGGTCTCAGTATCATGTTTCTTCTGGGTGAAAACAATGGTAAAGACAGCGTGGGAACGGCTACTTGTTTCATTCATGTTAGTAGCTGCCACTGTCCTAAATAAACATAAAGGTGACCACGTGATAATGGAATTCTTATATAAGTGTTTAAATGGACAGCAAGCTCCACATTATAAGCATTATAATCACAAGCAAAGCCTTAAACTTAGTTGTGTAAGCTGTCACTTACACAGCTGCTCTCAATACTGCTTTGTGAGCCCATCAAGTTACCCTCTGAACTCCACAGGCACCCCTCAGAATCATTTTTCATACTCCAGCTAACCCTTTAGAAACCACCAGAGCATTTAATTTTCATTCTTTATTAGGCACCCATTTATTCCAGAATCAATGACTACCATAGCCTCATAGAGACATGACTAACATCTTACCATGACTTAGTAAACACCTAAGAATAAAACTTTAGCAAAGGGCTGGGAAGTTGGCTCAGTGGTAGAGCGCTTGCCTTGCATGCATGAGGCCCTGGGTTCGATTGCTCAGCACCACATAAGCAAAAAGAAAAAAGCCGGAAGTGGCGCTGTGGCTCAAGTGGTAG